CAAAAGAATGAACAATCTATTCAATGAAATAATATCAGAAAACTTTCCAAACATGAAGGATGAATTGGAAATCCAAATTCAAGAAGCCTACAGGACGCTCAATGTACAAAATCACAATAGATCCACACCAAGGCACATAATAATGAAAATGTCCAACATACAGAATAAGGAGAGAATTTTAAAAGCCACAAGAGAAAGGAATCAGATTACATATAGGGGAAAACCAATTAGGATAATGGCAGATTTTTCAACACAAACCCTGAAAGCTAGAAGATCCTGGAACAATATATATCAAGCTCTGAAAGAAAATGAGTGCCAACCAAGAATCTTGTATCCAGCAAAATTAAGCTTTAGATTTGAAGATGAAATAAAAACCTTCCATGATACACAAAAGTTAAAAGAATTTATAGCTAGAAAACTGACACTACAAAACATCCTTGGAAAAATATTCCATGAAGAGGAAACAAAAAACAACAATGAAAATCAGCAGAGGGAGGTAGTACCCTAAAGGAAAAACTAATCAAAGAGGAAAATCAAGTCAAGTTAAATAACAAAAATAAACAAATATGGCTGGGAATATAAACCATGTCTCAATAGTAACCCTGAATGTTAATGGCTTAAATTCACCAATCAAAAGACACAGGCTAGCAGATTGGATTAACAAAAGACCCAACAATATGCTTCCTCCAGGAGACTCATCTGATAGGAAAAGACATACACAGATTGAAGGTGAAAGGTTGGGAAAAATCATACCACTCACATGGACTGTGGAAGCAAACAGTGGTTTCCATCCTCGTATCAAATAAAGTAGACTTTAAGCCAAAGTTAATCAAAAAGGATAAAGATGGACATTACATACTGCTCAAGGGAACCATACACCAACAAGACATTATAATCATAAATATATATGCCCCAAACAATGGTACAACTGTGTTCATCAAAAAAATTCTTCTCAAGTTCAAGAGTCAAATTGATAACAACACAATAAATAAAATTTATTATTATTGGGTGACTTTAACACATCTCTCTCAGCACTGGATAGATCTTTGAAACAAAAGTTGAAGAATATTTCAACCTGCTTCAAGCGGATACACTTTCTTCTCAGCAGCACATGGATCCTTCTCTAAAACAGACCATATACTGTGTCATAAAGCAACTCTTTGCAAGTACAAAATAGTAGAGATACTGCCATGCATTTTATCAGATCATAATGGAATGAAATTGAAAATCAATGACAAAATAAAAAATAAAAATTACTCCAACACCTGGAGACTAAACAATATGCTACTGAATGAACAATGGGTCGCAGAAGACATCAAAGAGGAGATTAAAAAATTCTTAGAGGTAAATGAGAACATAGATACAACATATCAAAATCTCTGGAACACTATGAAAGCAGTTCTAAGAGGCAAGTGCACTGCATGGAGTTCATTCCTTAAAAGAAGAAAAAGTCAACAAATAAATGACCTCACATTACATCTCAAAGCCCTAGAAAAAGAAGAACAAATCAACAGCAAAAGCAGTAGAAGGCAAGAAATAATTAGAGATGAAATATAAAAAGAAACAATTGAAAAAAATGTCAAAACAAAAAGTTAGTTCTTTGAAAAAATAAATAAAATTGACAGACCCTTATCTACGCTAACAAAGAGAAGGACAGAGAGAACTCAAATTACCAGCATATGTGATGAAAAAGGTAATATCACAACAGACACTACAGAAACACAGAGGATAATTAGAAATTACTTTGAAAACTTATACTCCAATAAAATAGAAGATATTGAAGGCATCTATAAATTTTTTAAGTTATACAACTTGCCCAGATTGAATCAGGAAGATATACAAAATTTAAACAGACCAATACCAAGTAATGAAATAGAAGATGCCATCAGAAGCCTACCAACCAAGAAAAGCCCAGGACTGGATGGATACACAGACGAGTTCTACAAGACCGTTAAAGAAGAACTAATACCAATACTCTTCAATTTATTTCAGGAAATAGAAAAAGAGGCAGCACTTCCAAACTCATTCTATGAGGCCAATATCACCCTGATTCCAAAACCAGGCAAAGACACATGAAAGAAAGAAAACTTCAGACCAAATATCTTTAATGAACATAGATGCAAAATTCTCAATAAAATTTTGGCAAATCAAATACAAAAACATATCAAAAAGATCATGCATCATGATCAAGGAGGATTCATCCCAGGGATGAAATGTTGGTTCAACATAAGAAAATCAATAAATGTAATTCATCACATTAACAGACTCAAAGATAAGAATCATATGATCATCTAAATAGACGCAGAAAAAGCATTTGACAATATACAGCACCCCTTCATGTTCAAAACACAAGAAAAACTAGGGATAACAGGAACATATCTCAACATAATAAAGGCTATCTATGCTAAGACCCAGACCAACATCATTGTAAATGGAGAAAAATTGAAGGCATTCCCTCTAAAAACTGGAATAAGACAGGGATGCATCTTTCACCACTTCTATTTAACATAGTTCTTGAAACACTGGCCAGAGCAATTAGATGAAAGAAATTAAAGGGATATGTATAGGAAAAGAAGAACTTAAATTAGCACTATTTGCTGACGATATGATTCTATACCTAGAAGATCCAAAAGCTCCACCAGAAAACTTATAGAATAAATGAATTCAGCAAAGTAACAGTTTATAAAATCAACACCCATAAATCAAAGGCATTTCTGTACATCAGTGACAAATCCTCTGAGAGTAAAATGAAGAAAGCTATCCCATTTACAATAGCATCAAAAAAACAAAAACAAAAACAACAACAACAAAAATTTGGGGATCAACGAAAGAGGTGAGATCTATACAATGAAAACTACAGAACCCTAAAGAAAGAAATCAAAAAAGATCTTAGAAAATAGAAAGATCTACCTTGCTCTTGGATAGGCAGAATTAATATTATTAAAATGACCATACTATCAAAAGCACTATACAGATTTAATGCAATTCCAATCAAAATCTTAATGGCATTCCTCATAGAAATAGAAAAAGCAATCGTGAAATTCATCTGGAAAAATAAGAGATCCAGAATAGCTAAAGCAATCCTTAGCAGGAAGAGTGAGGTAGGTGGCTTCACTATATCAGACCTTAAACTATACTACAGAGCAATAGTAACAAAAACAGCATGGTATTGGCACCAAAACAGACTGGTAGACCAATAGTACAGAATAGAGGATGCAGAGACTAACCCACAAAATTACAATTATATTAAACAAAGGCACCAAAAACATGCATTGGAGAAAAACCAGCCTCTTCAATGAATGGTGCTGGGAAAACTGGAAATCCATATGTAACAAAATGAAATTAAACCCCTATCTCTCAACATGCACAAAACACAACTCAAAGTGGATCAAGGACTTAGGAATTAAACCAGAGACTCTCCATCTAATAGAAGAAAAAGTAGGCCCTAATCTTCATCATGTGGGATTAAGTCCCAACTTCCTTAATAAGACTCCTATAGTGCAAGAATTAAAACCAAGAATCAATAAATGGGATGGACTCAAACTAAAAAGTTTCTTCTCAGCAAAAGAAACAATTTGTGAGGTGAATAAAGAGCCTACACATCTTGGGAGCAAATTTTTACCCCTCACACATCAGATAGAACACTAATCTCTAGGTTATATAAAGAACTCAAAAAGATAAACACCAAAAAAACAAATAACTTAATCAATAAATGGGCCAAGGACATGAATAGAAACTTCTCAGAAGAGGATATTCAATCAATCAACAAATATATGAAAAAATGTTCATCATCTCTAGCAATTAGAGAAATGCAAATCAAAACTACTCTAAGATACCATTTCACTCCAGTCAGAATGGCAGCTATTATGAAGGCAAACAACAATGTGTTGGCGAGGATGTGGGGGAAAAAGGCACACTCATACATTGCTGGTGGGACTGCAAATTGGTGCAGCCAATATGGAAAGCAGTATGGAGATTCCTTGGAAAACTGGGAATGGAACCACCATTTGACCCAGCCATCCCTCTCCTTGGTCTATACCCAAAGGACTTAAAAACAGCATACTACAGGAACATAGCCACATCAATGTTTATAGCAGCACAATTCACAATAGCTAAACTGTGGAACCAACCTAGGTGCCCTTCAGTAGATGAATGGATTAAAAAATGTGGCATATATACACAATGGAATATTACTCAGCAATAAAAAGAGAATAAAATCATGGCATTAACAGGTAAATGGATGGAGTTAGAGAAGATAATGCTAAGTGAAGTTAGCCAATCCCAAGAAAACAAATGGCGAATGTTTTCTCTGATATAAGGTGACTGACTCATAGTGGGGTAGGGAGAGGGAGCATAGGAGGAATAGACAAACTATAGATAGGGCAGAGGGGTGGGAGAGGAAGGGAGGGGGCAGGGGGTTAGCAATGATGGTGGAATGTGATGGACATCATTATCCAAAGTACATGTATGAAGACACAAATTAGTGTGAACATATATATACAGAGATATAAAAAATTGTGTTCTACATGTGTAATAAGAATTGTGATGCATTCTGTTGTTATGTATTTAAAAAATTAAAGCAATTAAAAATATTATTTTTCATAAAAGATTGAAACCAATTTGGAAAAGGGCTTATAATTTGGATTATAGCACGAACAAAAGGGCTGGAAATATAGCTTAGTGATAGAGTGCTTGCATAGCATGTAAGAGGCCATGGGTTTGACCCTCAGACCCACAAACATAATTATTTAAAAAAACATTTATTTTAAAAATAATTATTTTAATTAACTTAATTAAATGAAGAAGAAATAATTGGTGGGAATGGAAGGTGAAGTCAGAAGCAGCAAAATGGATACTAGAAGAACTATCTGTCCTCCAAACGAAGTGGAATAGCTGACCCCATGGTTTAGGCTTCATTAAGTTCCCCAATTCTGGATAAGCCTCCAAAAGCAAATGTTAGTGGAAAAAATGCAGCTAATTAGAAAAGATATTATGTATCATTTACTTAAAATAACAATTTATTGACATATAAACCAATAGAACCAAACAGTATTAATAAAACCCTTTTATCTTCAGGACAGAGGCAATGCTCTAAGCGAGCATTAAACAGCTCTGAAGCTGCCAGGCACTCCCCACAACTTAGGAGGCTGAGGCCCTCAACTTAGTGAGACCCTATCTCAAAATAAAAAACAAAAAGGGCTGTGGATGTATCTCAGTGGTAGAGTGCCTCTGGGTCTAATCCCAGTGCTAAAAAAACCCACAAAACAATAAAAACACCAGAGCTCTGATGCTAACAAAGGAGGGCACTAAACACAAATTTAGCATAGGGGTAAGAGTCTTTATGTCTTTCGGTGAAGACAAAGCCATTTGGTTGGCACTTCATAGGAATATCTTTCCACCAGGTCTTCATCATATGGTATGTGCCAGGAGTCTCCAGTTGTTTGCACCACTGTGTCATAGGTGAGAATATGCTGTTGAATTAAAAAGAGAACCAAACATTCAAACATTGAGAATAATGATAAAGGGCTACCCAGCTATTTCCCTTTCTTTTCAGACAACTTCTCAATTTACTTTGGAAGAGTAGTCACTGTCTTAACAATGGATTTTCAAAGAGCAGCTAATTCAGTGATGATGAATGTTGGAAGATGGATATTAGGGAAAATTTTCAAATATATGAAGGTAGAGAAATAGCATAATGAACTCCCACATACTCAGCTTCAATCATTATCAACTCACAGCTAATCTTATTTTATCCATACCTTACCAACTTCCTTGCCATATCCCTCTACCACCAAAATTATTTGGAAGCAAATTTCAGATACCATTTCTTCTGTATTACTTTACTGTATAGCTCCAAAAGATAAGGATTTATTTTTTAAGTGTAATATCAATAAAATTATTATATTTAAGAAGTAATAATAACTGGCTGGAGATATAGCTCAGTGATAAGGCATATCATATGCTTAGCATGTACAAGGCCCTGTTTTCAATCCCAACACACACACACACACACAAACACACACACACACACACACACATACACACACACACAGAAGAATGTCCACCAAAAACTAAAAAAATAAATATTACAAAAAATTATCTCTCTAAAATAAATAAATAAATTCTTAATATCATCAAATTTCTACTGCTTATATTTCCTGATTATTATATGTACATATATTTCATGATTTGTTTGAATAGAAATTAAACTAAGGTAATTACATTGTGACAGTGAGATACCTCTTATTTCTCTTTCAATCTAGAGGCAATTTTTCTCATCCCACCTCTATTTTTCTTACATCTGCTTTTCTTTTTGTTGTTGTTTGTTGATTTCAGAGGAAATCAGGTCAGTCGTCCTGTATCATTTCTCATAATACGGCCCTGATTTTGCTGACTGAGTCTCTGTGTAAGTATTTGATACTTATTTCCTGTAAATTTGTTGTTTTATAAATTTTTATTTATTTTTAAAATTTACAAATAAAAATTATTGTATATAGCAGTGTTTTGAAATACTTACACATTGGGGAATGGCCACATCAAGCTAATTAACATATGAGTTACCTCATCTATTTATCACTTTTTGTAGTGAGAACACTTAAAAATATATTCTCTTAGCAATTTTCAAGGATCTAATATGTTGTGCCAGGTGTGGTGGCACACAAAGGTAATACTAGCCACTCAGGAGGCTGAGATAGGAGGATTGCAAGTGCAAGACTAGGTAATTTAGTGAGACCCTATCTCAAAATAGAATATTTTGTAAAGGCTGGGGGTATAATTCAGTGGTAGATTATCCTTGGATTAAACCCCCAGTATCACACACACACACACAAAAGAATATGTTGTTGTTAACAATAGTCAATCATCATATCGTACAATAAATTTCATAAACTCTTACTATCTAACTGAAACTTTGCATTTTTTTGTCCCACATCTCCTCATCTCTATGATTTTTGACCATCAGAACAATGGGCCAGTGTATTTTTCTTTATTCTTTTCTCTCCTTTTTCTTTTTTTTTGGAGTGGGGCTCAAACACAGGGGCATTCTACCTCTGAGCTACATCCCTGGCCTTTTTTGGAGGCAAGGGGGTACCGGGGCTTGAAGTTAGAGGCACTCAACCACTGAGCCACATCCCCAGCCTTATTTAGTATCTTAAAAGAGACAGGGTCTCACTGAGCTGCTTAGTGCCTCGCTGTTGCTGAGGCTGGCTTTGAACTTGCGATCCTCCTATCTCAGCCTCCTGAGCTGCTGGAATTAGAGGTGTGAGCCACTGCGCCTGGCTCCCAGCCCTTTTTATATTTTATTTTGAGACAGGATCTCACTAAGTTGCTGAAGCTGGCCTCAAACTTGTGGTCCTCTTGCCTCAGCTGCCCAAGTTACTGGGATTACAGGAACATGCCACCATTTCTGGCCAATATATTTTTCTGTAATAATTCTCCTTTGGATTTTTTCCCCTTTGTTTTCACAACAGGCATTTCTGTGCTATAAGTATCTAAACTGCCTCAGAAATGATTTTAAACAGGAAAAATTAGTTACTCAGCAAAAGTAAAAGTATGACAAATGTAGGGATAAGAATTTTGAAGCTGGGTGTGGTGGTGCATGCCTGTAATCCCAGCAACTCAGGAGGCTGAGGCAGGACTGCGAGTTCAAAGCCAGCTTTAGCAACATAGCAAGGCCTTAACCAACTTAGTGAGATCCTGTCTCTAAATAAAATGCAAAAAAAGGCTGGGGATGTGGCTCAGTGGTTAAATGCCCCTGGGTTTGATCCCCAGTAACCCCCCCCCCCCCACAAAAAAGAATTTTGAGCCATTGCAAATAAACAGGGAAATGAAAAACCCATGTAAGAAGTCATAATTGATTACAAAATTGAAGTCACAACAAATGGCATCCCAGGTGTTTCAATATATCAGTTAATTTGGGGGATGATCTACAAGAACTTTTGCTCTGACAGACGCTCTGTTTCCAGGAATTGGCAAACAGTAAATACCAGAGTAAAACAACAACAAAGCATCTAGAGCTTTCAATTAATTACAACACTTTTTTAAACAATGCTACATTCTTACTATATGTTTGACTTTGTTAACATCATACATAGAGAACAGATACATACCTGAAAGGTTATTTTTGATCCTGGAAACCTATTTATAATTGCCAGCTGATGTCCTTGCTGCCACTTAAAGAATAGACGTTGGGTCTTGATATCAGGTAGACAGGCCTTGTGATCCCGCATTAGGTCTTTTGTGATAAACTTGCAGTGATTCCCCGAATTCAGTGTGGCATATAGAAGGAATGGATCATCTTCTGAGCTGAACCAGTCATAAGAAAGGACAGAGTCAAATACACCCCAGGAGACAGAGGACAGCATTTTTCACCAAGCATTTTACTTATTTTCCTACTTTTCTTAGAGGTGCCTCTGAATTCCTGACAGACATAATCTCAGTGATACTTAATAAACCACCTGGAAGTCCTTAGCTGGTAAGCAATACTATCTAGAGTCCACAGGGAAAGCTGAGGGGAGAGGATAGTAGTGTCTGGGACTCTTTCAACTCAATGGGGCTAACAATTTTCTTTTTACACTTAAAAGCTGGTTCTTTGTGGACATTTTTCCTATTTGCCTCACTTACCACAATGTACACAGTTTTTTAATTTTTCCTCACTCAAATTCAAGAAAATTCCAAAAAAGTACTAGGACAAGATGACACTTTCTTTGTAAGCCACCAAATAACTGGCTAGTCCCAAATCTGAAACTGTTATCTCAAAGCAGCTTGTGGGCAGTCACTAGGATCAGCACTGGATGATGACTCCTACTTTGAGAAGAATCAGTGATTCAGAGTATCCAACAGATTGTCAATCTTAGCACTTACTTTTCATGTGTGTGGCAATAACTACCTTGGCTCAGTAAATTCGGACTAACCTGCGATATGGATGCTTTGTGCCTTAATTAAAAAGACCCAAATAGGACCACTTAAAATTCAGCTTATACTAAAGGAGTTCAAGTGAAATGACTGGAATCTGCCTTAAAAATCCCCGGGGGAGGAGGGGGGGAACAGATTGGAAAAAAAAAAAAAAAAAAAACACAAAAAGAAAATGTTGGTACAAGAGGAAGTGAGGGGAAGGGGAAAAATAATACAAGAGGGACAAACGAATGTCAGTAGAGGGGGCAGAGAGAGAAGAGGGGAGGGGAGGGGAGGGGAGGGGGGATAGTAGAGGATAGGAAAGGCAGCAGAATACAACAGACACTAGTATGGCAATATGTAAATCAATGGATGTGTAACTGATGTGATTCTGCAATCTGTATATGGGGTAAAAATGGGAGCTCATAACCCACTTGAATCAAATTGTGAAATATGATATATCAAGAACTATGTAATGTTTTGAACAGCCAACAATAAAAAATTAAAAAAAAAAAAAGAAAATGTTGGGAGATGTATGGAACAAGATTAGCAAAATGATGCTAATTATTGGAGGTGGGTGAGAATTACATGGGAATTCACTGTACATACTATTTTTCTACTTTATGTTTGAAAAGGCTTCTTTGGTACATTAGTAGAAATTAGAGTCATATTAAAAAATTAAATATCCACAAAGGGGAATGAAGGGAAGAGGGTGTATAGGAAAGATAGTAGAATGAATTGGACATAACTTTCCTATGTTCATATATGAATACGTGACCAGTGTAACTCCACATCACGTACAATCACAAGAATGGGAAGCTTAAAACTATATATGTATAATATGTCAAAATACATTCTACTGTCATGTAAAACTAAAAATAACAAAAAATTTTTAAAAATTAAATATTCAAATTCAGAGACACAGAAGGTCAGTGAATCAGCCTTTACAATTGAGTTTGGAACTTCAGCTGGTACAGTAAACACCTGCTGCAAAACCAAACAGTGAGACCAACTTCCAACAGACTTCTTGGTTATAATACTGCATTTATCCAATTCTTTCAAACAAGAAAAATAATAATGATGGGCTAGGGCTGTAGCTCAGTGTCAGAGCACTTGCTTAGCATGTGTGAGGTGCTGGGTTTGATCCTTAGCACTGCATAAAAAACTGAACAAATAAAGGCATGCTGTTCATCTATAACTACAAAAAAAAATTCTTAGAAAAAAAGAAAAATAATAATGATGATGACAGAAACTAAGATATATGCTTTCCATGTATTTTGTGCTGTACAAACAGTTTAACATGTATAATTTATAAGTATTGTCTCAAATAACCTTCCCAACATCATGAAGATTACATATGAAGAAAGGAAGACCCAGAGAAAGGAATACCTCTCCCAGATGGGAAGTGGCAGGGCTATAATCTGAACCAAGCATGCACTCCTAATGACTACTAATGTTGCCTACAGTGATTGCATGAAGAGGATCTGGTCTTCTTTTGGAGAAATGGAAGCTCCTTCTCCTAGCAAAAGGAAAAAAGGGACCTGGTTTGGAATTCAGATGAGGAGTTGGCCTCCTGCTTCATGCAAAGAGAGTCATTTTTTAGGAATAAATACTTTGGAGAATACTAACAAACCTGGAGGCTATCACATTGGAACTAATGAAACCTAGGCTTAGGGCTGAGGCACACAAATAATCATCATCCAAAGCAAAGTGAGAAATAAATTTTTGTTATTAGCCTAACTAGTATGAAAACCTAAATGCACATTAAAAGTTCATATGTACTATTGAAGATTTGTGCTCCTGCTGGTTAGCTGCTTTCTTTTTACTTCATGGACAGTCTACATTTTTTTTTTTTTTTTACTGACCATGTTCCCCATATTCTTTTTGCTTCATAAGAAGCTGTGGCTCAGTAGCAAATTTCTCTTTATATTCAGGATAAAATCTAAGCCCCTTGTATATCTACCAGGACCCATAAGATCCTCTGTAATGTGGTCCCTGACTTTTCTATTATCTCAAAACTTAAGTACTTCCCCTGTTGCTGTTCTAGCCAATTCACATGGTCCTCTTGCTTTCTTCATAAATGCCAACTTTGCAGGGTGCAGTGGTGTACACCTGTAATCCTGGCAACTCGGAAGATTGAGGCAGGAGGATTGCAAATTTGAGGCCAACCTCAGCAACTCAGTGAGACCCTACCTCAAAATAAAAAATAAAAAGAGCTGGGGATGTATCTCAGTGGCAAAACATCTCTGGATTTAATCCCCAGTACCAAACAAAAATCTAAGCTTAGGGCTGGGGATGTGGCTCAAGCGGTAGCCCGCTTGCCTGGCATGCATGCAGCCCGGGTTCGATCCTCAGCACCACATACAAACAAAGATGTTGTGTCCGCTGAAAACTAAAAAATAAATATTAAAAAAATTATCTCTCTCTCTCACTCTCTCTCTTAAAAAAAAAAATCTAAGCTTATTCCTGCCCTAGGACTGTTTTTTTTTTTTTCCTGAGGATTGAACACAAGGGCAAAGAAGCTCTACCAGTGAGCTAAATTTCCAGCTCTTTTCCCAGGGGCCTGCTAAATTACTCAGACTGACCTCAAACTTGCCATTCTCTTGCCTCAGCCTACTTAGTAGCTGGGATTATAGGCACATGTACAGTGGCTTTGTAAATGTTTGTGTTTCCTTCCTACCATTCAATCTTCCCAGCAGATTTACCCCCTCACAAAGGTCTTTCCTGATCACTTCAACCATTACCCTTTGATCTAACCCCTACCTAATCTCATTCTACTTTGCTTTATATTGCACTGACCACTGCCTAAAATGATATTACCTAATCTCACCCCTGATTTGTCTTCCTCCTATTTCTCTTTTCCTGATATCTCTTTTATCCTCATCTATTTAAGTTTCTTCTGTTGTAGAAACTATATTTTGTAGCTGCATCAAAATATTTTTTTGAATAAGGTATGTACATATACATCCATTTTTAAAATTGCAAAAGCAGGTAACACACAAGCAGATGACTAGAGCCTAGTGTAATTTACCTTTTATCTCCATTACTTACATGTCATCAGCAAAAAAACAGCTGGCTTGCTTTTGCACTTTTTCCATCTCATCCTTTCTCCACCGGAAACGCTGTGTTAGCATGTGCTTCCGGCCCAGGATCAGCAGTTGCAGATTCTGTTTGGCTAGTTGAGAAACTACATCCAAGAGCTAAAAAACAAAACCAGCATCCAAAAGGGTCAAGAGAAAAATCTCAAGTAAGTGGAGTGATTTTTCTACCTGGTCATCTTAATGGTTAGGCTCTGTTTTCTGAAAAGCGGGTAAGAAAACAGCCTTTAATAATTTTCAATCTTCGAAAGCCCGAGGAAAATGCTTTCTTATTACAAATTAATGTATAATACTGACCACAGGTTATGCTACACTAGATCCAGGAGTGGATTTCTAAACAGAGCTGTGTCTGGTTGTTTTTATTTACACATAAAAAAAAAGAAAACTATACATACACACACATATATATTTATATATAACTAAATATATACATATATGCATACATGTGTATGAGTGTGTGCATGCATATTTATTTAGTTAGTTTAAAATAAACTGAGTTCTCTAGAACCTATGGCAGGCATTTATACTAAAAAAGTTTGTTTTATGGATTCAGACATTGAAAGTACATTTATTTCAGAATACACATTACTTTTTCTTATCTTTCTTTCTCTTTCTCTCTCTCTCTCTCTTTGAGATGAGTCTTGTTAAGTTATCTAGGCTGGTTTCAAATTTTTGATTCCTCTGCCTCAGTCTTCCAAATAGCTAGCATTTATAGGCATGTGCTACAGCATCAGGCTCCACTTATTCTTTTTATAAAACTATACCAAGATTACAAGTTATTTTTCAATGAGCCTAGATATAAAATGGCAAGTGGATTCATTAATAGGGATCACAATTCTAAAATTTTTCCATATTCATTTCCACAACATTGTAAAGATACAGAAAAGAATGCAAACCAAAATACTTTTATTACTGATTTTTAAAATTTCCATCCAGCTAGGGAGACAAAAAAGACAAGGGTCCTTGCAGCTATAACCTGGCTCAGATAAACAGCCCTGAATTTATTAATATTAGGTTAAAGGTAGAAGCCCAAGGAAGGGCAGAAAAATTAGCTTGAACTACTCTGGGGCACCATCTTGTGGCTAAAAGGTCTCCGTTAACAGCAGCTCTCAGAAAACAACAAAAACAAAGGAGAATAAAGAAAAGACACAGGAAAGAAACATGAGTGAGCAGAATAAAGGCAATGGCCTGAAACACTATGACAGTCCAGCTATAAAAACCTACTTCCTTTGGAGTAAATTCCAAGGCTGGATCTAGTGGGTTGGGTCAGAGTCAAAGGTATATTCAGAAGATCAAAGAAAAGGAAAATTCAACTTAATTCTGTGTTAGATGAAAAAGAAATTAAATTTGGAAGATAGTACACCCCCCCCCGCCCCGCCCACAAAAAGAGGGATTGAATGCAGGGGCGCTCAATCATGAGTTACATTAGCTACATTCACAGTTCTTTAAATTTTTTTAGATATAGGGTCTCCCTAAGTTGCCAAGGCTGTCCTCAAACTTGCAATCCTCCCGCCTTGACCTCCTGATTTGCTGGAATTACAGGCATGCACCATTGTGCTTGACTTTATATATCAGTCTCTCTCTCCCACTAAGTACAACTAAATCCCCCCGGACAGCATATATAAAATTAACATGGGAAGACTTTTTTTTTTTTTGGTAGAACTGGGGATCAAACTTGGGGCCTTGAATATGCCAGGCAAGCACTCTACCACTGAGCTATACCCCCAGCCCAGGAAGGCTTTTAAAGCTAGGGATAAAAGGCAAACTAGTGGGCTGGGGTTGTGGCTCAGTGATCGAGTGCTTGCCCAGCATGTGTTAGGAACTGGGTTTGATTCTTAGCACCACATATAAATACATGAATAAAGGTCCATCCACAACTAAAACAATATACATTAAAACAACAAAACAAAAACAAACTGGCTAAGGGCCTCAGGACATAAGGAATGGAAAGGCCAAAGCATGTAGTATAAACAAGCAAACAAACAAAACCCAAACACCACACAAACCAAAGGTCTGTTCCCTATCTACCTGGAAAATACCAGGTAAAATAATGACACCAGTAGACTGTGATGCAAGTTATAACTAGAACATGTATCTTTGATACACTCAAAGATGCTACAGATGAGGGCTGGGGTTGTGGTAGAGCACTTGCCTAGCATGTGTGAAGCACTGGGTTCGATCCTCAGCACCACATAAAAATAAAGAAAGAAAGGTATTGTGTCCATCTACAACTAAAAAAATTTTTTAAAAAGATGCTACAGGGGTTTGGGGATGTGGCTCAAGTGGTAACGCGCTCACCTGGCATGCGCGGGGCGCTGGGTTCGATCCTCAGCACCACATAAAAATAAAGATGTTGTGTCTGCTGAAAAACTAAAATATAAATATTAAAAAATTCTCTCTCTCTCTCTTTAAAAAAAAAAGATGCTACAGTTGAAAAGAAAAAAATCCAAAACCCACTAAGATAAATAAAAGTGGAATTCTAAGAAAAGTTCAAGTAACCCACAGGAAGGCAGGAAAATAATTCAGGAAAAACAAACAATGAAAATAGATAATAGAAAACAAAAAAATAAAATGGCAGGCATATGCCCTAACATATCAGTAGCAGCATAAGGTATAAAGGGCCCAAATATGTCAATTAAAGGACAGACATTGTTAGAGTTGAATTTTTGCCAATCTTACATGTTAAAAATATAATTCTATTACATGCTAACTAAAAGAAACTCAATTCTGATTTAGGTTGTTTTCTATATTCCATACTATTTTGCTATCATCCTTAAGATGTTTAAAGTACAATTCTCTAGTAATCAGAAGAGTAAGAACATTTCAGATTAATATTTGGTACAAACATTGTCTAGTTTGGCTTCTACCCTAGTTCGATTTTTCTCCTGTAGATAAAAAGATTTTTTTTAATTTTTTTTAAGGCTCACACATAACATATTTAGTTTTGGCACCAAACTACTAAAAAGTAGTTCCTGACCTCAGGGTAAAAATATAATTGGCAGGGCTATAAGTGTTAGAAACAACTGCGTAGGGGTGCTTAGGAAATAGAAAACTGGGAGGTGGGAGAGGCCAGAGAGGGCCATACTTCTGAGTAATCCTAAAAAGCAAATATCACTTCCTTTTCCATTCTTACAACTTTTTACCTCCCCCTCTTCAGGCTCTAGTTCTAGTACTTCCTGGGATTGTATGTACTATACATTTTCAAAATGTCTAAAGTCTTTGGGATGTGATGTCTATCAAAAATAAGAAAATCTGTGCCAGTTCTTGATAACTATAAAACCGGGCGAGGTGGTACACACCTGTAATCCTAGCAGTTCGAGAGGCTAAGACAGGAGGATCACAAATTCGGGATCAGACTGGGCAAACTTTGTGAGACCCTATCTCTAAAAAATATAGAGCTAGAGATATAGTTCAGTGGTAGAATGTCCCTGGCTTCAATTTCCAGTACCACACATAAAAAGGGCTGGGTATGTAAACTCAGTGGTAGAATACTCCTGGGTTCAATCAGTCTCTAGTATCACAAAACAAACAAACAAAAATAACTATAAGGAGGCTTAAAATATTAAAATGATATCATTATTACAATTAAAAATTTAACAATTTCTTAATTTTAAATATCCAATGGTCATATTTCTCCGAATTTAAAATTAAAATCTAAAAAAGCTATGTCCATTACAATTGCTTGATAGCTTTATTAAGACTCTCTATAAGCTCCTCCTCCATCTTTTTTTTTTTTTATTTTTAGTATACTGGGGATTGAACCAGGGGGTGCTCTACCACTGAGCTATATCCCAGCACTTAATTTTTAAAAAAATTTTTTTTAGTTGTAGATGGACACAAATATCTTTATTTATTTATTTTTATGTGGTGCTAAGAATCAAACACAGTGCCTCACACATGTGAGGCAAGCACTCTACCATTGAGCCACACCCCTAGCCCCTAAAATTTTTGAGACAGGGTCTCGATAAGTTGCCCAGGCTGTCCTCTAACATGTGATCCTTTTCCTTCAGCCTCTCTGGTAGCTGGGATTATGTGTGTGTGCCACAGTACTGGCTTCCTCCTCCATTTCCTTTTCCCCTTAGAGTAAAAGAAATGTGGCTATTCTTACAAAATTTCCCACATTTAGGGTACTGCTCATTGCCTCCCTCTGACATCACATAATAGAACCTCCAGTTCTCTATCTTTTCTGTAAAATGGTAGTTGGATCTAGAGGCTGGATCAAATTCAAGGATTTTGTTTTGTTGTTGTTTTGGTTATGCATGTATAATAGTGTGCTTGTGGGTGTGTATATGTACCTATTTAAAATCATCTTTTTTTTGCATTTAAAAATTATTTTTATTTATTTATTTTTCTTACATACATGACAATAGTGGAATGCATTACAATCATAATTATCCATTCACAGCACAATTTTTTGTAACTCTGTATATAAAGTATGTTCACGTCAAATTATGCCATTATACATGAGCTCTCTTATTTATTTTTTTAAATCATGGTCTTGATAAAGTTAAAAGGCTAGTTCATCTATCAACATTACTGAGAACCTTCTCTATAAGGTTTTATAGACACTAAGCAGGGACTGTTATTGATACAGATCTAAAGGTACAATTAACCTCAAGTGCAAAGAGGGAGCATAAAGGAGGGGTGCTTCCATCAGACTCAGGGTAAGGTCAGAGAAGTCTTCACAGAGCAAGTGACAGCAGAGCTCAATTTTCAGACCAATTATCCAGGCAACAAATGGGAGTTTCCAAAGACAAGGAATGGCATGTTGATTGTGTTCTTTATCAGCACACTGAATTTGAGAAACTGTAAGGTATCAAATGTGGCTGAGGCAGAGGTATAGAAGAAAGTACCAGAAATACTGTAGGAATAAATGCAGGGGTCAGATTACAGGGGTCTGTGAAAGCTGATAAATCTTCCTGCATGAAAGCACTGGGGGATAAGCAAAGGATTTAAGACAGCACAGTGACATAACTACCATTTTAGAGAGATCAAAATTATGGATTGCAAGAAGGCTGGACTAGAACAGGCAGATCAATTAGAAGGCTTCTGCAGTAATCCAGGCAAGAGATAATGAGAAAACTAGCAATAAAGTTGGAGAG